TGGCAAATTAATACAGGCCGATGATAAATGTCACACACATGCACAGCATCCATCTGAAATCTCTCGGTGAAGCCAGACCTCTGTCAGAGCCTGTTTTAGTAGAACTAATTCCATTATAGCAGTCTCACTGATTGCTCTTCCTGTCTGTTTCCACCGGCTCTGGTCGGCATGTGGCGTATCCTTTATCTCAAATTGTGTTCCATTCTGCCTGCGTTCCATGCACTCAGTTGATTACTTTCTAGTGATATGTTCTGCTGTTCGCGAAATGACACTGTGTTTACCCAGAACTGATTATACACCCTAATGTAAGGTGTCTTTAAACAGTGGACATCGATGATTGATTTGCTTAATGCAATGGAATAATATTAAACAGAAATGCGTTACTCATTTACCTGACTGCAATGGGAAAGAGGATTAGGAGGTCTCAACCTCTTCCTCTGTCTCTATGTCAGTTTAGTGCAATCTTGACCATTCAACATTTAACTTGTTCACAGGCACAAGACATGTTTGCTTGCTGCACGTGAAGCATTTGACAATAATAATTCAGTAGTCACATTGTTTTCTAATGCAAGCTTCCTCACTCAGCTCCCTATATTGCATGTTTCCTTCACAGCATTTTGTCACAATAGCCTTTTTTCTTTTCAGATGCATGTGTTATCTTATCCCAGAAGAACATTTAGTTGCTCATAAGTCGCTCTGGAGGAAGTGTAAATTTTGTCTAAGGAGAAAGACCTTGAAATTTCTTTTGAAAACCTATAATTATTTTTTGTCTCTTAGAACTTAAAGGGATACTCCACTTTTTTTGGAAATAGGCTCATTTTACAACTCCCCCAGAGTTAAACTGTTGAGTTTTACCGTATTTGAATCCATTCAGCCGATCTCCGGTTCTGGCGGTACCACTTTTAGCATAGCTTAGCATACATCTTTGAAGTGGACAAGACCATTAGCATTTCTAAAAAAAAAAATGACCAAAGAGTTTCGATATTTTTCCTATTTAAAACTTGACTCTTTTGTAGTTACATCGTGCACTAAGACCGACGGAAAATGTAAAGTTGTGATTTTCTATGCTGATATGGCCTTCAGGCGCTGCGTCATATCATTGCGCCTGCTGCTCTCATGGTACGGCAGTAAAGTTTCTTGATTATTACGCAGGAATGAGAGTATAGTTCCTAGCCATATCAGCCTAGAAAATCGCAACTTTACATTTTCCGTCGGTCTTAGTGCACGATGTAACTACAGAAGAGTCAAGTTTTAAATAGGAAAAATATCGAAACTCTTTGGTCATTTTTTTTTTAGAAATGCTAATGGTCTTGTCCACTTCAATGATGTATGCTAAGCTATGCTAAAAGTGGTACCGCCAGAACCGGAGATCGGCTGAATGGATTCAAAAACGGTAAAACTCAACAGTTTAACTCTTGGGGAGTTGTAAAATGAGCCTATTTCCAAAAAAAGTGGAGTATCCCTTTAAGTCTCCATTTTAGCACATTGGTGTCTAGGAGAAGCAATTTAGCATTTTTGTTTTTGTCTTACATTTGTTTATATCTATTTGTTGTCATGTTCCTTGCCTTCACCACGTTTCATCACAGTGTCATGTTTTCAACGCACATGTCACCCGACAGTGTCTCTATTTTTAGCTTGGAGGGTAAAGGTGTGTGATCCCGTGGCCCCAGCTCGCTTTACAAAAGAGCTCGTAACTGGACTCTCGCTTGTGTTCTTTCTGAACGGGATAATTTTAGATGAGGACTTGAAACTTTCAGCAGGGTGTCAGGTGTACGTCCCACCTTTTCCTCGTCCGTTGTTCTCTTCACCCCCTGCCTCCATTGGTTGTGTCGTGAGTGTGTGTAAAATTATACACAGAGTGTGGGGTCACTTTCGACCTTCGCTTCAAAAGGGACAGCCATATGGCACTGTGTTTACTATGTTAAATACTGAGCCTTTTGGAGGAAGATCAGGTTGCATGAGTTTTTGAGGAAGGAGCTTTGAGTTTTAGCAAGTTCAGTTACATGCTTTAATATGCACAACAGGTGGACTTGCAAATAACAGCTGGGAATATGAAACACATGTTCACTTTTATATATTAGTAGCCATAGCTTTTTGTCTAGTATGCTAATTAACTTGATTATGCTAATATCTACAGTCTATGTTAAATTTTAATGTTTTGGCCATAGTATACTATAAACTTCCTGAAACGTAATTGCTCTCTTTGTGTTTGTACAGGCAGTTTGTTTTGTCTAAAAATGTTATTTTAAAATATCTCATGTTGCTTGTATAAACGCCACTAGATGGTTTTATAGTAATGTGAAACTATTTTTTGATTATGCACATTCATAAATGCCTGAAATGCCAAATATTCTACCGTATGGTACAAACGTATTTTTTCTTCTTCTTGGTCCATAGATGCTGGTAAACCTCATTTCCAAACTAAAATCATTCCTTGTCAACTCAACCAGTGGTCCCTGGCTATTATTATTATTATTATTTTTTTTTTTGTGATTTTGGTTATTTCTTTTCTGGTGAAAGAACAGGCATGCAAACTTAACAATATGTATGGCACTCAGACAGGAATGTTCTATGCAATTGAAACGAGATACATTTCTAGTTTCAACATCATTTGTTCTTCAGTTATTCCTCTTTAAAAGAAAACAAAGTATCAGCTATATGCAAATTGACATAAATTTGGTTTTTGACCACTGAAAATTTTTAATATTGACCAATTTCCTCATAGAGCCTCATTGAAATCCACATATCTTAACTGTATTGTGCTGTAAAAATTAAAAGATGCCAAAATAAAAGTATGTTAACCAAAATATAAAAGAATATTAAGTCTTATATATAATATACTTCTGGGTTTACAGGCATGCAAACTTTAAGCAAAAAACACAAGTGCTTTTGCCCATTTTTGAACTGTCACTGTTGACATATGATGCAACAGATTTTACTAATAGACCTTCCAATCCCTGTGTAAAAATAAAATAATTATTCTGTCATCTTTCTAAAGTAATTTTTACCACCCTGTAATTTGGTTCCAAATCTCAGGTGAAAATTGTAATTTTTTGACCCCCCCTCTACAAAACAGTGGATTACTTAATAAATATATATCTATAACATTTAATAGTTTGGCTTTCATCACTATTTATGGTTGTCTTTCTTCAGAAAAAAATATTAACAAAATCAAAAATTTAAGCCGGGGAAGTTTCAGAAATTTGGTTGATTTGACAAGGAATTTCCCAAGTATCTTTTATTATATATTTATTGTCTTTTACGCCGTCGGTGTATGAATGAGTGAGTGAATGGGTGAATGTGAGGCAAAAATGTAAAGCGCTTTGGTGGCCATTGGGTCTGTGAAAGCGCTATATAAATGCAGTCGATTTACCATTTTTTTTACCATTTTATTTTAATGAGCATTATTCTCAGCATGGGTCTTTTTCAGGGGGCCATCCTGCTATAGATACTAGATATGAGTTTTAGTTGATGGATCTGTGATACTAGCATGTGATGAGGCCAGTTCTGTGGAAGAATGACAGACAGAGGATGTGATTGCACATTACTGACTCATGCAAGCCCCTTGCTGAGACACACACACACTAGTGATGTATGTCTCGAGACCGGTCTTGGTCTCGAGACCGGTCTCGAGACCACTTTTACGTGGTCTCGGTCTTGTCACGGCCTTGACGGTATTTGGTCTCGGTCTTGTCTTGGTCTGAGACCTCTCGGTCTTGTCTAGGTCTCGCTGTCTCAGACTGACATAGTGGTCAGGGGATTGAGCAATACAATACTACAATATCCACGACGATATCCACAACGGATTGAAGCGCGCGTCCGAGTGAAGACAGTGCGGTGCGCGCGAGCCACGCGAGAAAACACTGTATCCGCGCCACTGATCGCAGCGGCAACGAGCACTTTGATCACTTGATTTAAAAAACACATATCATCAGGGTGCGATTTGTGAAAAAAACAGAGGGGGGGGATGTTTTGAAAAAGTTTTATTCATAAAAATAAATCATGAGAACATGAACTTCATCACTGCATTTGCAGGAATTTAAAAAAAAAAATTCTTATTAACTCATGAAGTAGCCTAACGCAATATGTTTTACTCTAATAGCTTATCATGTACAGTTTTTGATATATTAATATTTAGTAAAAGACATATCAGTGGCATGATGGGTTTTACCTTCATTCAGGAGATTTTGGGTAACTGCACAACTGACAGATGACTTTGAGCGCACCGCCAACGGTGTGTGTGTGTGTGTGTGTGTGTGTAACCATAGCGACAAAAACGACCAACTTTCGGATCCTGCACTTAAGCCTATAATTTCGTTTTTAAAAATATAATTATGTATTTAAAAGTTGCAGAATGGATTCATTTGGAGACGTCGAAATCAGCAGAGATAGGCAGGCAAATGCAAAACAACATTTGACAAGTTATTGCTTAGCTTCAACACTAATGTTTTTTTTCCCCTCCGGTCTCGACTTGGTCTCGGTCTTAGGCTCGACTTGGTCTTGGTCTCGACTTGCTCTGTCTTGGTCTTGGTCTTGGTCTTGTCTTGGTCTCGATACCATCTGGTCTTGGTAGTGTCTTGGTCTCGGTTTAGGCGGTCTCGACTACAAGTCTAGCACACACACACACACACACACACACACACACACACACACACACATCGTCTCTAAAAACAGTCTTTTCTGCCTATTTCATACCATATGAGGCAGAGGCTGTCTTTGCATGGAGGGAATTATGGGAACTTCCTGGCCAAGCAGACTGGTTAACAGATTGGTCTGGATCATTTTGATACTGGCACAAGGTAGACGGCCGTCTCCTGTTGTGTGTGTGTTTTGTAGCGTGTCCCCACTTTAAATCCACAATGACTAGTCCTTTTATGTGCAACAGCAAGAAGCTTATCCCAGATGTCAAAACCTTTAGCTCAGCAAGGTCTCATTAGTTTCTCTTGAATGCGTTTACTCAGTCTTGTGCTGAAGCTATTTGTGGTCATTCTGTTACGCAGGAAAGCCATCTCGCGGTCGGGCCTCCAGCATTTGGGTCCAGCACAGAATCCCTTCACTGCCCTGAGCAATGGACCAGCCAAGGAACTCCGCAACACCGTGGACTGGAGCGTAAGTGTCCTTCATCTGCCTTTCACTATGAATGTCTATCCAACTGCATGTCTTATCAGCTTTCCCATAGAAAACAATACTGGCAGTGCTTTGATGGTATCATTTGGTACTTCGATATAGACATGGGTCCATTTGACTTGAGCCAGTAAGTAACCAACTAGCAACCACCCAAAACAGGAACATTTTTGGTGTGTTCGGACTGCAGGAACTGGGAAGGATTTTAGTTTTAGGAACGCCTTTTTGGGGGCTAAATTAGCTCCTACTTCAGGGTAGGGTCTAACCCAGCGCAATAGTACTGAATACGTTGATTGGCCATAAAATGCCATACAAAACACCAGCACTCACTACATTCTAGGGCTGCACAATATATCAAAATTGTCGAAATATCGCAATTGTATATATTGCGATATGCATGTCGCAACAGCTTGCAATTACTGGGGTCATGAACAAAAGACAAAGAGAAAATCACTCACTGCTCTTGGCTAGATAACTTTTGTAGCTTTAATAATAATCCGTATATATATTTAGTTCATACAGTGAAAACTAAGCAGTATTTTATTTTTACATTTGATTATTCAGTTTCTGTTGTTGAATAAACCTAATGTAGGCCTACCTGAAACCCTAAACCCTGTGGTTTACACTGATGTTAAAATAACACTTAAAGTTGCTTCTTATGCTACAGTAAAACACTGCTGTTCACTTTCAGAAGTTGTAGGGATGTTTTCTTGTCACAAAAAGAATGTGAAACTTTATATAATTTTAAATATATTTTAACTTTAAGCATTGTCATATATATATAGGCTATATATATATATATATATATATATATATATAATACAGTACATGACATTCTAAGACTAAAGCCCTAATGTTTGTGTCGAGGAGAAGATATTGCAATGGTTTTGACAATATCAGCATATTTGGACTGGTGGGTGCTGTTTGACGTGGGTGGGTCCCACAAAGACGGTTGGCATGGCAAAAGAGAGACTCGTTAATCCAGGTGCTGTGTGTACAGATGGAGACTGCTGAGGGGGCGGAGCCCAGCGGGACGCTTCCTGTGCGTCTTTGCTGGCTTTTCCTTCCCCTCTAGTTCCCGACGTGACCAGCGCAGCAGCCATCAAACATTAATGCGCCTTCCTAAAACTGCTAAGTGTGTACACAAGGCATCGCTAATTGAAGCCTCACAATGTGTGTGATTTGAATGCAGGAACGTGCATTACCTGAATGTTTTTGTATTTTAATGCTCATATCGTTTGCATATGTCATGTCAAGTTAAGTCACAGTTATTTATATAGTGCTTTATAGATATGTACTTACTAAGGTTAGGATCAGGTTTGGTTTAGGGTTAGTCGCATGTAATTATGTATATTTACAGTTATGGACAGTTATGAAACAAATACCGTTTCAGCTGTAAAGACAATATAGTGTCATTATTAAGCTCAATTTAGTTATGTAGCGAACTATAAAGCAGCTCCACAGAAGATAATAGTGTCAAAAATAGTGCAGAGTTCATCATAAAACTAAATTCTAAATTCAGATATATTATAGCTATATGTATAACTGCATCCGTGGAAGTTGTTATCATAGCCATAAATAAACCATGATTTGCTACATGCTAATCAGTTCGCATGAGGGGATGTTTTCATTCTAGAGAGCATTTGATCAATGTTTTTGGTTTCCTGGAAGAGTAACATAAATGCGTATATCTGCTAATTAGCATTAGCATGCAGATGTAAGCTTCAAAGCTTATAGACATGGACTGACAGCTACAAAACTTGATTTTATCTGCACAGGAGAACGCAGTGAACGGTGATCATCTGTGGCTGGAGACGAACTGCTCCGGGGATCTCTGCTACCTGGGCGAAGAGACGTGCTTGGTCAAGATTGCAGTGAGTATAACATGGTTAAACAGGTTACAAACATGGTTAAAACAGATGAAAGGAACTAAAGAGAAGTCAGACAGTTGCTGTATTTGGAGGGCTACCTGAAGGCAGAGAAGAGAGTGTCATTAGAGAATTTTAGCAGTGACATTTTCTTTCATGAGATAATGTGAGGCTGGTGTGTATTGAAAGGAAGAGGCAGCTATTAGTCTGAGAATGTTCAGCAGGTAAAAGGATTTTGTTAGGCTTTTGTTAAAGCACGACGCTGCGCTCTGATGTTTTCAAGAGCCGTAGCAACTCTATTATTACCACTTCAAGTGGTTGGCAAAATCCTTCGTTGCCTCAGAGGAAACAAGCTTTTTACAGCTGAAGATGAGAGTGCAGTGAGAGCATATTCCTTATACAATTGAATTATTAGATGCATCGTAGATGTGTGCGTTTGCTCAGGCTATTGCTCTATGACAAGTTGTTGTGTGTTTTGTGCTGTTCGGTTCTCTTTAAGAAGTCGGCTCCCCGGAGGAAGTGTGCAGCCTGTAAGATCGTGGTCCACACGGCGTGTATTGAGGAGCTGGACAAGGTGAGCAGAGGCAGAAATATCCGTTTCATTCTCACGCACGTCATAAATACGCCCTCCACAGATGAACGCTGACGTTTGTCTCTTCAAACAGACATCAGGAGGATAATGAAATGGGATGAGATGGTATAATCTAGATATTGCAGTTATGGTTTTTAGGATCAGGAGTCGTGGCTCCCTGCTGTTGCGATGTTCAAATATAGTTATCCGTGCAATTGAGTGAGTAGATGTGAAAGAATATCAAGGTCACAATATACATCACAATCTATTTAAGGAAAATGTTTATATTTTACTAACTGTGTGGTAATGTCTGTTTTTGGTTCATTTATTAAATTAAATATTTTAGAAAATTCTTTAGAATTAATCAATAGTTCAGAGATGGACTAATAGTTCAGACTTTTGTATTTATTTAAAAAAAAGAATATATATATATATATATAAAAACAATAAATACTTCTACTAATAATAATAATATATTGTATGTATATACACTCACCGGCCACTTTATTAGGTACACCTTGTTAATACCAGGTTGAACCCTTCAGAACTGCCTTAATTCTTGGTGGGATTGATTCAACAAGTTGCTGGAAACATTCCTCCGAGATTTAGGTCCATATTGACATGACAGCACATCCATGATGTGATTCTCTCTTTCCACTAGGGATGCACCGAATCCAGATTTGTGGGGTTCGGCCGAATACCGAATCCACTGGTTAAGATTCTGCCGAATCCGAAACCGAATACCGAATCCTACTCTCATCCTCAGTCCATTAACACAGTAAACACATTAATGAAGTAAACAAAGCGGATTTTTCATTTTATTTTATTACTGTAAATAATAAACACTACTTTTACTTTTATAACTGTAAAAAAATAAAAGAATAAGCAACATTATGCATTTTGCAAATTGAACATGTAGCTCGACTTGAATTGCCTTCTTTTCACTGAAAGTACTGCCAAACAACACTTTTTCTGCTCACGAGTTCCATTTTCACTTTCTCACAGCCAACTGCATTCGAACGGTGCACCTACTGTAACGAGTGGAAATAAGGTGTGGCCCCTTTAAGAACTGCGCGCTCCTGTTGAACTGTCTGCAGTCCGTATTGTATGTGCCGTGCGCCTCAAACACATGCCCATGTTTGCGGGTTATTTCTGTTTGATGCTCATTTTTACCTTATTTTGTTAAGTAACGCTGTGGAACGTAGAACGTGTGACAGACAGTTACACAAGTTCGATTGTGGAATAAAGTGCGAGTTGTGAGATGCCAATCGCCTCCGTGAGTCTGTCTGGCCTCTGCAATAACTTTAGCTGTGAGCTATCCCTATTTTTCTTCCTGACACAACGCGTTACACTACAGGCTTGTTCGACTTGAACCGGCGCTGCACAGACAGATCAGTTTATGACATCAAAGTACCGCGAGAGCAATTCAAAAGCATAAGGAGCCGTCTGCTCTCTATTCGTTCACGCGGTACTTCGGGATGTCATTCACTGATCGGTGACTTCGACGTAGCGCGCGTAGCGCAAGCCTAGGGTTCGGTTCGGTGGAAAAAAAATCTGAGGTTCGGCAGAAACCGAACCCCGTTAAATAGCCCAATATTCGGCCGAATCCGAATCCTGCATTCGGTGCATCCCTACTTTCCACCACATCCCAAATGAGCTCTGGTGACTCACTGTGGAGGTCATTTGAGTACAGTGAACTCACTGTCATTATTCAATCAACCAGTTTGAGATGATTTGAGCTTTGTGACATGGCGCATTTTTCTGCTGGAAGTAGCCATCAAGAAGGGTACACTGATCATAAAGTGATGAACATGGTCAGCAACAATACTCAGGCTGTGGCGTTTAAACGATGCTCAATTGGTACTAAGGAGCCCAAAGTGTGCCAAGAAAAGATCCCCCACACCATTACACACCATCAACCTGAACCGTTGATACAAGACTAGATGGATCCATGCTTTCTACGCCAAATTCTGACCCTACCATCTGAATGTTGCAGCAGAAATCCAGACTCATCAGACCAGGCAACGTTTTTCCAATCTTGTATTGTGTAATTTGGGTGAGCCGGTGTGAATTGTAGCCTCAGTTTCCTGTTCTGATCTGACAGGAGTGGCACCGGTGTGTTTTGACAGGAGATTCGACGTGTTGTGCGTTCAGAGATGCTCTTCTGCAGACCTCGCTTTTAACAAGTGGTTATTTGAGTTGCTGTTGCCTTTCTATCAGCTGGAACCAGTCTGGTCATTCTCCTCTGATCTCTGACATCAACAAGGCATTTTCACACACATAACTGCCTCTCACTGGATATTTTCTCTTTTTCGGATCATTCTCTGTAAACCCTGGAGATGGTTGTGCATGAAAATCCCAGTAGATCAGCAGTTTCTGAAATAATCTGACCAGCCCATCTGGCACCAACAACCATGCAGGCCACATTCAAAGGCCTTTATTCCCCATTCTGATGCTCAGTTTGAACTTCGGCAGATCGTCTTGACCATTGCTGCATCCGAATAGGCCTACTTCCATACTATATAGAACATACTTTGTTTAACAATCGCGAAGTAAGTTTTAAACCAAATGTAGTACCTACTATACAGTATGCGATTTCAGACGCTGCCTGTCTACATAGCTACACATTGTGTTATTTAACTAAATGATTCTATAAATCTGTCTTTCATTGTCTCTCCCTCACAGATCAACTTCCGTTGCAAACCCACCTTCAGAGAGGGCGGCTCTCGATGCCTTAGAGATGTGAGTCCACTTCTAGAACACATGACTTCAAATCGTTCATCACACAGAAGTTGCTTTGACGTATACTTATTGTACTTATTGTATACTTATGGCAGAATGAACCCTTGTTGGCACGTTTACATGTGACCCGTTGTGTCTGTTTGCGACAGCAGAACGCTTTGAGACATCACTGGGTCCACCGTCGACGGCAAGAGGGGAAGTGTCGTCAGTGCGGCAAAGTATGTCACTGTGTCAGGTTATAGTGAAGGAGGGCGGCAGATTTTTTGTTTGCAAAAGTCAAGTATGTTTATGCTATCCTTCACTTTGATTGTAGAGTTTCCCGCAGAAGTTCTTCCACAGTAAGGAGATCGTGGCCATCAGCTGCTCCTGGTGCAAACTGGCAGTGAGTGTCATGTCTGTGTTTTACTCATAAAACCTCACTGGTTTATGCGATGCAGACTTGTTCCATCTCTTTCCCTGTTTGTCTATCACAGTTCCACAATAAGGTCACGTGCTTCATGCTCCATCAGATCGAGGAGCCCTGCTCACTGGGAGCTCACGCCGGGGTCATCGTACCCCCTTCCTGGATCATCAAAGTCAGGAAACCGCAGGTACGTTTTTATCAGCACTTCATAAAGCGAGGTTTATGTAATGTCCTGCAGGAGACGCTAGGGCAAAGTGACACTAGACTGTTTAGAAGCTGGGCTGTATCTGCTGATCATCTTCAGCTTAAATATGCTTTGATGATGCTAGATTTGATATCAGTAATGTTGCGTTTCATAAAACTTCTATGCATATTTTATATGGAGCTTCTTTCATTGTTTCCTACACGTTCAACATCACAGTTTATCTGTTGCATTAAAAGCTAGAATTGAATTGATCAAAAACTGAACCATCATATCAACAGTCATAGCAGACATTTAGACCACACCCACTCTGATGACACGCTCAGCTATGATTGGATGTGGATTTACTGTATGCATTGATGGGGAAGGTTTTTGAAATGTGGCATCATGTTACTGCCACTTTCAATTCAGGAGTTGCTAAAAGGGAAGTTGCTTGCTTGTACACAAACTGTTGTTGAAATAGTTCAACCAAGGAAAATCTTGTCATTTATTTCTCATCCGATAACACTTTACACTTCAAATTTAATTAATTTATTACTTAAAAATGAACAATATTTAATTAGTAAACTATATTACTTAAGAATTAACAGCATTTATTAATTTTACTCTATGATAATTTCAATTTCATGGGAATTAAAATTACACTTAAATTTTCTATTAAAATACATTTTTAAAATCTAAAGTTGTACTTGTTAACATTTGTTAATCGACTGGGAACTAACATGAACAATCAATGAACAACTAATCTTAACAAAGATTAATAAATGCTTAAAAATATATTTGTCTCATTGTTAGTTCATGTTAGCTAATGCTAACTGATGTTAGCAAATGAGACGTTATTGTAAAGTGTTACCCCTCTCATCCTCGTGTTGTTCTGAACCCACTGAATGACTTTTTTTGTAAATAAAATAAAAGATGTTTTGCAGAATGTTCACACTGCTCTTTTGTTTAGCAGTGCGATATATAGTGAACAAGACCTCTGGTGCCTTTTTGCCCTTTTTGGAGTTGGACAGCTGTCACTCTTTGCATTTGTTGGTAGAAAAGAGCAGTGTGAACTTTCTTCTCATCTCAACATGTTTGGAGCGTCACGAGGGTGAATAAGTGATGAATAAGTTTTACATTTTGGGCCAACTATTCCTTTAATTTGAAATGAACACTTCTATCAGTAATGGTAGAACAACAACTCTGTCCTACTGGAGTTGGTTTTGGTATGTTTTGGCTTAGTCGGCGTCTCTCTCCTGTGTCCCAGAGCTCATTTAAAAACTCCACTCGAAGGAAAAAACGGACGTCGTTCAAAAGAAGAGCCAGCAAAAAGGGCACGGATGTGAGTAGATCTGATTCCTGTCCTGCTTTTAAACTTTTTCTTCCCTTAACTCCTGCTCAGTGATCATCTGTCCCCACTGCTTACTGCAGAGATATGTGTGTGTATTTGTGTGCTAATGTGCATTTATTTGAAGTATAATGAAGTGACTTTGAAATGACAGGAATCAAAATGGCGTCCGTTCATGCTGAAGCCGCTGCCCTCCCCGCTGATGAAACCAGTGCTGGTGTTTGTCAACCCCAAGAGCGGCGGAAACCAGGTGAGACACTGAAGAAAGAGACGAATAGAGTCATCTGTCTGTCTGCCTGCCGTTCAATATATCACTCTATCGTTCTATCAATAGTTCTGTCTGTTGTTCTATCTATCATTCTCTCTGTTTACCGTTCTATCTGATGTTTTATTTGTCATTCTGTCTGTCTGTCTTTCTTTCTATCTATCTTTTGATCATTCTATCTATCGTTCTGTCTTTCTGTTGTCCTATCTATCATTCTGTCTGTCTGTCTTTCTATCTATCTTTCGGTCATTCTATCTATCATTCTATCTGTCGTTCTATGTATCTTTCTGTTATTATATCGTTCTGTTTTTCTGTTGCCCTATTTATCATTCTGTCTGTCTGTTATTCTAGCTTTCTGTTATTCTATTTATCATCCTGTCTGTCGTTCTTTCTATCTTTCTGTCTGTCGCTCTGTCTATATTTCTGTTATTCTATCAATCATTCTGTCTGTCTGTCGTTCTATCTATCATTCTGTCTTTCTGTTCTATTATTCTGTCTGTCGTTCTTTCTATTGTTTTGTCTGTCTGTCGTTCTGTCTGCCTGTCTGTCTACCGTTCTATATATCACTCTGTTGTTCTATCTATCTGTCATTCTATTATGTCGTTATATTCTGTCTGTCATTCTGTCTGTTGTCCTATCTATCATTTTGTCTGTCTGTTGTTCTATCTCTCTATCAATATCTATCATTATATCTTTCTGTCATTCTATCGTTCTTTCATTTTATCTATCGTTCTCAGTTTTTCTATTTCTCATTCTGTTTGTCTGTTTTATGTCATTCTTTTTTTCGTTCTACCTGTCTGTCATTCTATCAATCTATCACTCTGTCTATCATTCTATCTGTCTGTCATGCTATCAGCCTGTCTGTCACTCCATCTATTGTCCTTCTTGTCTTTGTTGTGTCTTTCTCTAAGTCTGTGTCGTGTAGTCTGTCTCTCTGCCCGTCTGATCTGTCTGTGGTTCTCAGGGGACTAAGCTGCTGCAGATGTTCATGTGGATCCTGAACCCTCGGCAGGTGTTTGATTTGTCTCAGGGAGGGCCCAGAGAAGCGTGAGTCTCTCAGTATCAGCGTTCTCTTTCATTCTGTTTCAGATCATCTCTCCCTCCTCCCTTAATGCACTTTAACCCACTATTTCTTTGTCCTGACCACATTAATTATGTAGTCGCTGGATCTCAGCAGTGCTGTGTTCTATAAGGGAGTTCAGTGTTCTAGAAGCTTCTCTCCCCGCTGCCCACTGCCTCAGTTCGCCTCAGTAATTGAGCGGTGAGACAGCACAGCACATGCGCTCTGATCTGATCTGCTCTAGCGATGAGAGAGAGAGAGTATTAAGATGGGAGCAGACACAGCTGGGCGGCTGGGGGCTTTTCTTTTTTTGAGCTGTCTGACAGAGCTGTGATTAAACCCCTATTAAAACAGAAAACCAACACACACACACACACAACCACACATGCAATGGCCCAAAAAACATTTAATCCACACTTAAAAGTGTCTGAATGTCTTTGCACTAGAGGGGGAAAGTAAAAATGTATCAAACCATGTGGCATTTATTTAAAAGAAAACCAAGTTTACATGTCAAACATTTCACAAATTTTTTTTTTGATTAGGTTTCACATAGATAACATTCAAAATGAAGACAGAATATATTTTGTGCATAGCTAATGTGTTGAACTACACATGTGGTTACTCTAAAAGGAGACATGTGAATTCATCTGATATAAATCACCTTCTGGTTAAAAGACATTATTTATTGCATTAGGTACTATCAATGAACAACACTTATTGCATTTATTAATCTTGGTTAATGTTCATTTATAGATATAGTATTGTTCATTGTTTAAATGTTAAACATTGATTAGGGTAACATTAATAAATACTGTAAAACTATTGTTCATTGTTAGTTTGTGATTCCTAATGCATTAACTAATGATAACAAATTAAACTTCATTGTAAAGTGTTACCCATGTCATCGAAAAATGTCTCAGAAAAGTTAAATTCTTAATTTGTATCTAATGCAGTGAAATTCACCCATTTGTGAATGTACCTTAAGCGTCCAAATACTGTTTGGGGTCACTTTGTAATGCTAACTGATTGCAAATGCATCAGTCACAAATATCACTATTTGTCTCCCTCTGTCCATCAGGCTGGAACTATACAGGAAAGTGCCAAATCTTCGCATCCTTGCCTGTGGAGGAGATGGAACGGTAAGGTGCAATGCATGTTGGGATGAACAGATATGTCCAACCCTCTAGAAATGTAAATATTTTGGATGCACCTCCCTCTGGTGACATATGATATGTGGAACGACAATGAACTAAAAAGTAACAAGCAGTGGCGAAACACTGTTATTACCTAATAGTGGGTCTGTGGTTTGTACTGTCATGCTTTCTTACGGGTAATTTCTAGATCCATGACCCATGCAAGATGAAACTTGGATTTCCTGAGCGCTTTTGGCATTTCTCCCCCGGAATGAGTAGTTTGTCCTCTTTTGTCTAGGTGGGCTGGATTCTCTCGGCCTTAGATGAACTTCAGATGAACCCACAACCTCCTGTAGCTGTGCTTCCTCTTGGTACAGGAAATGACCTTGCCAGGACTCTGAACTGGGGAGGGGTGAGTCAACTCATCTTTAAATCTTCTTTAAGTGATTAATAAATAGTTGCATTCCCCATACGTCCTGTCTGCCTGTGTGTATGCTTTCTCCTTTCTTAGTTAGGTGCACGTGTTTCTATTGCTAGTGGAAATCACCATTTCCTAATGCAAACATGCTGCTATCACAGAAAGCTAGCATCCATCACACATTTCACCCTCACCTTACTCGTGAAATGCTGAATAACAGCACCTTTGAATTTGAATTTGGTTTGTTTTACACAACACAAGAGCGTGTGAAAGCAAACAGCATTAGTTGGATATGATCGGGCTGCTCTGATTGGCTGAGAGGCTGTAATTGTGCAGTTGGCCAACTAAGTGGTTGTCACTGATAAATGCCACTCATTATTTTCCATTATACTCTGACCTCGTGCCTGGAGAAACACTGGCCTTGGGATCTGGAGTGTCTCTCTCGTTTTTTCCCCCATGCTTTAATCGAAAGTCTGTTATTAGCAATGAAGCGGGTATAATGATCCTCGCTGTCCACTCTGAACATTCGAATTGATGGTATAATCATTGCAATTCATGTCAAGTACTGTGTTTATGCCAGGAGTAAATAGCCCTTTACATACAGTAGCTGGCCTGTGTAAGGTAAGACCTCTCGGCTCAACATGATCTCTTCATGTTTCAGGGTTACACCGACGAGTCGGTGTCTAAGGTGTTGTGTCACGTGGAGGACGGTACGGTGGTGCAGTTGGACCGCTGGAATCTGCAGGTGGAGCGTTCGGCTTCCCAGCCGGAGGAGGGCACGCAGAAGGTGGTCGCTGGAGATATATGTAGATACACACCAGGATATATGTTACGTTTATACGCTGCTGATATTACAATGTGTCTCTTTGCTGTCTTTTATCAGCTTCCTCTTAACGTGTTCAATAACTACTTCAGCCTCGGCTTTGATGCCCACGTCACCCTGGAGTTCCACGAGTCTAGAGGTTTGTGACGAATATGTGTGCATTTTACATATTCACGTATTGCTAAACCTTTCAAACTTAAATAAATAAATGACCTTTTATATGTAAATGGTATGTTTGCCAGAGTCAAGCTGCTGAATACTGAATAGGCTTTGATGTGTATAATAAATGTGGATGGGCATATGTTAATATGATGACCTCATAGCCGTGATGATTCTGAATTATTTCAAAAGAGCAAAGAAAGAAAAATCCTATTTTCTATGATATGACCCTTTTAAAATGAACTCTTGACTCACTTTATTGGCTGCGCACGTGTGTGGCATTTAATAAAATGTCCTTGTTGGCCAAAGATCTTTATATTATAAAGATAATGAGGAAGAAGAGATGCATAAAGTCATAATAATTTGTGTCGTCGTGTTCCTTCACAGAAGCCAACCCCGAGAAATTCAACAGTCGCTTCCGTAACAAGATGTTCTATGCAGGGGTAGGCAGAGTTCCCTTTCTGACAGAATATGGTGTGTGTGTGTGTGTGTGTGTGTAAGAGACTGACTCTTAGTTTTGTCCCCTCAGGCGGCTTTCTCCGACTTTCTCCAGCGGAGCTCCAGGGATCTGTCTAAGCATGTCAGAGTGGTGGTGAGTATGAAACTGTTCCTGTCTGCTCATGCTAACTTTCCCATTGTCCACCTGATATTTAACATGTTGTTCTGCATACTGACAGTGTGATGGTACGGATCTCACACCCAAGATCCAGGAACTGAAGTTTCAGTGCATCGTCTTCTTGAATATTCCCAGGTGGGGTGCAAAAATAAGGGTCATTCTCAGGAAAAGCCATTTATGTCAGAAATTCTGGTAGTATGTGCCTTGTAATAAATCATAAATTAAATATAAAACAACTTTCAAAACATGTTTTTCTGCCAAGCCTGGTACATTAGAAATGTGTCTGGGTTGAAGGTCAGTACAAAACATCTAATAATGGCCTCAGCTAACACATTGTTTTTGTACTTAGTGCCAAGAAAAAAACAATTCCGCACAAATGTTACTGCGATGTTTCTCGCACAACAGTGTTTAAATGTTGAGCTTGTAAAGGTCAATTATAATAAGTGTGGCTGTAATGAAGCACTTTTAATCTTCCGACTTCTGTGATGTCACTTCTTCAAATTTGATTTTAGAAAGATCAAACCAATGTTTTAAACAATCTACGTGGGGAAAATGTTACAGAATAATAGGGTTGGGCAGAAAAAGAAAAAAAAATCAGCATTTTCTCAGAAACTGCATAGAGCGTTAAAAATGACATACTGCAGACTGAAAGCATTTATTTTAAAGCAATTATTTTAATGACATTTTATAGCATTTTATTTGAACTTGTATTATTTATTTAGTTGTTGCTGTTAACTGGAGAGATGTTTTTTTATTTAACCCAATATGAAATATAGTGGTGATGAAAAGGGTCATGCAAACTTGATTCCAACGAAAACACATTTCAATATAAAATTAAGCTTTTACTTTTTAAGCTTTTAATTTCATTTGCATTACAATTACATTATGTCAGTAGTGAGTCATAGTGTCACAAATTTGCCACAAATAGCATGTTTCCTGAGAAGGAGCCATTAGGAGTTTTTCAGTGGATCTATATTTACTGTTGCATGATTCTGGATAAATTGAGTATAACGATTTTTTTTTTTTTGTTTAAAATGGAGATCACGATTCTGAACAGACAACTAAACAAGATAACATGCAATTTACTAGAGATTCTGACAACATTTTAATTGCTGCAGTCTATTTAAAAGATGTCTAATTTGAATGAATATTTTTTAAAAAAAATCGGTTTGAATGATTGATTCACTCAAAAAAAGACTTCACTTGTTTAATTACTGGATGAACCAGCAACAAATCTCTTTAATGAATGATTCAATGACTCACACATTTTTCCCAGTCACTTGTCGCCACCTACTGGTGTAATGATGTAACTGATCAGCGCCAGCGCAGATTTGAGTGTTCTGCTGTGATTTTGTCAAAGGTTTAATAGACATGGCCGAAATCGTTGTCATTTAGGAATAAGATCACGTGGGTGTTTGAATCGAGTTTGCGATCTTTTAATGATTAATCGTGCAGCTTTATCCCAGTTTTTACCTGAAGGATTCATGCATACAACTTTTTTTAAACATGTCAACAGGACTGTCTTATTTTATATACCTCATTAAACGCTGTACTCTCTCTCTGTAGGTACTGCGCTGGTACCATGCCATGGGGAAACACGGGCGACCACAGAGATTTTGAGGCTCAGAGGCATGACGACGGCTGCATCGAGGTGATCGGTTTCACCATGGCCTCTCTGGTGAGCAATTGGCGATTGGCTCTTTTATTTAGAGCGGGATTTATTCTGCCACACTTTTTCACTTTCCCATAGTAATATGTTTAGTCTTTGTTGCAGTTTTAAAGGGTTAGTTCACCCAAAAATGAAAATTCTGTCAGTAATTACTCACCCTCATGTTGTTCCAACCCCGTAAGACTTTCGTTCATCTTCGGAAAACAAATTAAAGGAGAACTCCGGCGCAAAATGAACCTTTGGTCTAATAAAACATTGGTACCTAGTCAATCGTTCTCTGAGATTTGTTTTCATGATGATCGAATGTAAAGAGTTTTATCTCTAAAAACTGTTTAGCGTATAACGCTAGTAATGGGGGCATCTATTAAGTAAAAATAAATCGCTAGTTTATACCACTAACAAGACTCAAAATAGCCCCACACGAACACAGTAACATAATGAGGGTCCCTACATGCAAAACGAAGCATTGAGAACTTTGTAAGTGTACAGATCGTTTAATAAGAAGATATTTTATGAAGACAGTCCACTTCGTGTATACAGACAGGAGCCATCTTTGGAAAACAGTCTCGACTAATCAAACCACGAACGCCATTCATACAGTTCAGCTCACTTAGCACGTCGTTCGTGGTTTGATTAATCGAGACTGTTTTCCAAAGATGGCTCCTGTCTGTATACACGAAGTGGACTGTCTTTATCTTTATCTTCTTATTAAACGGTCTGTACACTTACAAAGTTCTCAATGCTTCGTTTTGCATGTAGGGACCCTCATTATGTTACTGTGTTCGTGTGGGGCTATTTTGAGTCTTGTTAGTGGTATAAACTAGCGATTTATTTTTACTTAATAGATGCCCCCATTACTAGCGTTATACGCTAAACAGTTTTTAGAGATAAAACTCTTTACATTCGATCATCATGAAAACAAATCTCAGAGAACGGTTGACTAGGTACCAATGTTTTATTAGACCAAAGGTTCATTTTGCGCCGGAGTTCTCCTTTAAGATATTTTTGATTAAATCTGAGAGCTGGATCACTCCTCCATAGGCTTCTTAAGGGATCGAAACTGACCGGCCCAAAAGTTATGAAAGACATCGTTAAAATAGTCCAAGTGACTACAGTGGCTCAACCTTAAGTTTATCAAGCGACGAGAATACTTTTTGTGCGCAAAAATAACGACTTTATTCAACTAATCATTTCCTTCTCTGTACGGCCGTGATATTTCACGCAGTGATATCACGCAAAGCTTCTAGGTTGCACCAGAGCCATAGGGTTGCACGTCACACGTAGGCTCACTATTGGCCGACGCTGGTCATGTGTGTGATCAGGCTTAAGGCTTGCATGCGTTTCCCTGTCTTCACACAAGGCGGCGCTGCAGGTGGGCGGCCACGGCGAACGGCTGCATCAGTGCAGAGAGGTCATCCTCACCACCTTCAAGACGCTGCCCGTGCAGGTGGACGGAGAACCGTGTCGCCTCACGCCCTCGACCCTGCACATATCACTGAGGAACCAGGCCAACATGGTGCAGAAGAGCAAGAGACGCACATCTGTGCCGCTGCTCAATGAGTGAGTCACTAAATAATCTGCACTCAAATCTACTACTTAATCCACTCATGCATCAGTGCAAAATACATATGCATCTTTGACAAATGCGGATGTGCAAGATGTAAAAAAAATTTGAACAAACTGATTTTTAAAAGACGTTTTGATCTCAGATTCATGCATGTTATGAAACTTTCTTGGTGCTTTACAACGTGATATTGGACAACCTGAACTAACCTAGTCCTGTTATTACAAGGTCAAATATTTAGAGACTGACTTTGACACACAGTCAGCTTATGGCTTTCTTAATACAAAACAACAGTGACAAGGGCAAAATTACGTCTACTGACGAGCCAATAGAAATGCAACATGTAATTGGGTATTGATCAACGCGACATGGCGTTAAAAACTTAAAACTACTTACCTCAAGCTCCATTCGCAAAATTGGCCTCAGTTCCCCTAGCCATGACCACGTCCATATTCTCCTCTTTCGATTCCTCTTCTTTTTTTTCAGCGCACATAAAAACCACAATTGCCAAAAAGTGTGATTCATCTTACTCTCTTTGGTTACCACTAGCGCATGCTGATGACGTTTTGTTCTTCTATACTAACTTGCGTCGCAGCCTACGATTCAAAAGGTGTCATAATCATAGTCTACATACATGTGTGCTTGACTGATGAGTGTTCTAGTAACAGCACTAATGCACTGCTCTTCTAGAACCTCTCTCACGGTCTGTGTGCTGCTCTGCAGTGCCTCAGTGTGTTTTTCTTTCTTTTTCTTTCCTTGTCTCCATCTTTCTCTCTCCTCCTTAATTACTGGTCGCCCTTCATGCGTTTGTCCCTCTCCGCCTCCATCTCTCTCTCTCTCTCTCTGTCTCTTGTGCTGACTGGCTTGGCTGTGCTGCCTGTGTTCCTGTGTGGCTGCGCTGACTCAGCATTCAGAAAGTGTGCGCAGCCGACCTGCGCCGCCTCTCTGCTCCCCCCGACTCCTTCTCTGTGTAAGTATGGTATACACAGCCGTGTCGCACACCTCGGCCTGCTGACAGAGCGTGTGTGTGTGTGTTTTGTGTTTTCCAGTCAGCCGACAGAGTCTTGAGGTGTTGTTCTGTTGCTGTGCATCTTAAAGTCAACATGAAACTATCAAATCGACCCTGTTTAGTGTCGTAATACATGTTTCTGGTCTTATTGCACATAACCGAGTCCAAAAAAAGTGTTTGTTTTATTAACCTCTCATCATAATTTCATAAATTGCTTTGCTATTTTAGTTGGAATTCTTCTAGGCCACTCGATGGACCGTGCAGTTGTAAAAATAATGCATTTTAAGCATTTTATCTAAGCTAAGTTAAGCTATTGCAGGTTGTTTGTAAAATCATTTATTTCCTGCAGGAATGAAAAAAAAAAACGTTTTGTGACAAACTTGGGACAATAATTATGCATAATTATTCGCATATATATAAGTTCGGTACTGTCAAAACAATTAATTCAGACATCAAAATGGATTTTAATATTGCCATACAGCACCACCAAATTTCCTAATAAATAAAAAATAATTAAAATGAATAATCATACTAGAATTTAAATGTTAATGTTCACATGAGAATTTAAATCTGTTAACTTTGTAATGATAACACATTAAAAATAAATAATTATTTTTATCATTTTTAAATAATAAAATCATTTATAATAAATAAATATTCATACTAGAATTACATGTTACTTTTGTAACATAAAGTTTATATATATATATATATATATATATATATATATATATATATATATATATATATATATATATATAATGTACCAAATTATTTTAAAAAAAATTCACTTTTTTCTGTTATACCACCATTTTTGACTATATGCACTGCACATGTGGACAAATAATTATTAAAAATTATTATTATTCAAATAGCTAAATGCTTTATAAAATATTGCAGATAGTATTTACAAAATGTAATGATGGTTAAGGTTATAGAAGGTTGCATAAATAATAGTAAATTATGATTAATTTGTATATGTCAAGGGTCAATCATGTTGACTTGTATAAGGATGACAGATTTGGTCTAAACAGACGAAACGGCCCCAGAAAGGATTTTTATTAATGTCTACAGTCCTTTCTGATCTTCACCTGTCCTTTTGTGAAACTCATTTTCACTTTTGCTTTTAGCTCCTCATCATCTGGGTTTAATACTTTATTTTCATTGTTTTCCATTACGATTCAGTACGATCATAAAGTCCTTTCATGTAGAGCATTATCAGCAAGCAGAAGATAAAACCAAGAAAATGTCTGTTCCACCTCCACCTCTGTTGGTTCATATCTCACATGAATGCTTTTATGTGGGATCGGTTCTCATTTCTCGTCGTCTGCACATCGCAGCCCTCATGCAGTCCCTGACCGTCTGCGACTGCGCGTGAACCGCATCATCCTGCAGGAATACGAGAGCATGCAGTTCGACAAGGAGCGTCTGCGTGACATCTGTAAGTTAATCACAACCTTTCCCACAATTCAGTTCACATATCTTTATATAGTGCTGTTGTAGGAAGGGTGGATATGTGACTGTATGCCAACTCAGTGTGTGTGTGTGTGTTTGCTTGTTCAGCTACTCCTGTTGGCATCGTGGTGGTGAGAGGAGACTGTGACCTGGAAACCTGTCGACTGTACATTGACAGGCTTCAGGAGGTGAGCACTTCCCACGCTGCTCCTTTCAGTCCGAATTAACTGAGGAATGAATCAATACAATTACTGCCTTAAAACCTGCATAAACAAGACATTTTTCTTTTTTGTTGGGACGTAAAAACGGTTGTTTCTGGTCCTGTGGTTTTTAGTAATTTCATTTGCATCATTTAACCTCAAACCATGCCACCATCATGTTATACATTTTCGCAATTACACATTTCTTTGTCTGTTGTTGACAGGATTTGCATCAAGCGCCCTCTTCTGGTCACCGAGTGCACTACCAGGTAAACGCCTCCACAGGGTTGGACAAAATTCAGACAAATTCTGTTTTCACTCGTTGCACCTTGTGGGATTCTTATCTGTATTTATTGTCAGTATTTACTGTTATCTTTTCCTGCATGTTACTGTTGTTTCCTGTGTTTTGTTTTAATCCATTGCCATCCAATGTGCTAAAAATGACAATAAAGTTGATTTTGACTTTGGATATAAATTCAGTCCTGACAAGACTGTTAATCCAGCCATTAAAATAGATTCTAATATTGCCATACAGCACCACAAAATGAATTTAAAAAAAAATTCACTTTGTAATGATAACTTAATAATAATAATAATAATCACATTAGAAAATCTATCTATAAAATGTATTAATTTAGTAATGGTAAATAATATAAATCTTCACATCAGAATTTAAATCTATTAACTGCAGCGATAACAATAAAATAAATATCTTACATTAGAATTTAAATCTGTTCATTTAGCAATGATAACTTAATAAAATATTCACATCAGAATTTAAATCTATTAAGTTTGTAATGATAACAATAAAATAAATATTCATAAATATTTAGAATTTAAATCTATTAATTTTGTAATTATAACCTGATAAAAATATTCACATCAGTATTTGAATCTATTAAATTTGTAGTGATAAACGCTCAGATTAGAATTTAAATATATTTATTTTGTAATGATAAAACAAATATCAAAAATACATATTCACATTAACATTGGAATCTAATAATTATGTAATATTTTGATAATATTATAATAAATGATACCTCAAAATACACCATGTTTTGTGTGTATGAGTGAATCATACTGAAATTCATAATGTTATTGAAATGTATAGGTATACTATAAAGCTACACCTACACTAGTTATGTGAATTTAATTGAATTTTAATTCAAATTCAGGAATTGAATTATAAGCAGCATCTTGTCAAACTGTGCCTCACACAGAACACCTGTGATGTGTTTCTGTCTGTTCTCAGGATGAGAGCACAGGTTTGGCTTGGCCGAGTTTAGCACACAGACTTTCAGCAAACTGGAGCTTCCTAGACTGTGAGTCTCCGCATCCGAACTGTGTTTCTATTGTCTATAAGAAGAGACATACCTTTGCAAATAAAGTCAGTTTAAGTGTGTGTGTTAACACTTCATGTTCGGTTCTCTTGGCTATTTTAGGCTGCTTTCACACTTGGTTTGATTGCCTGGTCCGAACCAAATATACCATATACTCCAAAATACCATGTATGCACATACAACGAACGCATTTAGGCCAGAAAACACTGTTTTTGATGTTCAATAAGATCCGTCGCCAAATATACATAATAAAAGCTTTTTTTATCTTTAGGTTTGGTGTTAAAAAGGACTAGAGTAATCGCACCAGAGTTCATTTTAATGGAACTAGACCTGCCAAGTGTGAACACACCCTAACTGTTTAATGCTAGCTGAATAAAAGCACATCTGGCACAGACATTTGAACTTTATCGCCTCCTGCCTGGAGTACTGAGTTTTATAACCTCCACAGTAACACAGGAATGTGTTGTGATTTGTGTACTTCAATAAAGTATGTAATAATCATCACTTCACTGTACATTATGTTTCCAGCTACATCAGCCGACCGCTTTTATCGCATAGACAAGGCTCAGGTATGATGATACAGCGTTATAATATGTATAGAAAATCAAAAAGATATCGGAAGCTGCAAATTGTGCACTTGTAATGTGTGTACCTACAGGAGCATCTTCACTTTGTGACTGAAATATGCCAGGATGAGGTTTTCATCCTGGACCACGAGGCCCCAGCGGTGAGCCAGGTCCGAGCTCCTGGAATGCCAGATGTGGTGGTGGAACCCAGTTCCAGGTGAGAATCATCATTACCTTATTTTTCCGTTCGTTCCTTTCGGTTTTGTACCTCACTGCTCTGTGCAATTGCATGAACAAAGCTTACATTTTATTTTTTGCTCTCGTTTCCTTATTGCAGTGTTCCCCTGACCTCAGATGAACAAGGTACAGTACAAACACAAGTATTTCTTTGAAGTGGTGGAGAGACAGGAAGCATTTAGAAATTAATTTAAACTCAGGGAGTTTTTCCTGTCAGAAGTCATGGGATAAACCCATTGGTGACATTCAGTTATCGCCACCAGAAATGTCTCAAATTCATGTCATAATTGCTAGGTACTTGCTATACCTTATGCATGATTGTTACTCATACAATATCATGTGTTGACAATCTCATTGTTTTTTTGTTTTTCTAGCTCTATTGTCAGCTGCTGTTAAAGGAGACCTGTCTGCGGTGAGTTTATATTTTATTTGAATGAATATTTTTCTAGAAACTGAAAGTGAAAGAGTTTTCTAGAAGTGCGCTATGCCACATGACTCATCAGGGTGGTGCACAACATGATGCAGTGTAACTTGCGCAACTAGTAAAGCTTCTGTGGCAAACCAATGTTTTTTTATATGATTCAAAGCAACCATGCTCTCTCATATGCTCTTGACTCATGATCTGTCCCACGTGTAACAGATGCCGGGCTCCTGCGGCAGCGGGGTCAGTCTGTTGGTTCGGGACTCTATGGGCTGCACCGCTCTACACTTGGCCGCCCATCACGGTCACACGGAGGTTGTGAGTTTCATTCTAGAACACGGTGAGTGTTGGAACGAGCATCTGGACACGCACCCTCCTGTGTTTGCGGACTCAAGGTTCAAAGTTTGTTTGTCACATGCTCAACTGGGAGGGAAGGGAGTTTTGTTTCCCGTTTTAGATACCATCACATGTCTAAGAGAACCAAAACCAAAGCCAGTTAGGAATAATGGGCACAAAAGGTATCTGGACACTTAATGGATGAAAAATTCTTTTTTTTTCTTCTTTTTTTTAAAGAAAGAAAATACAGGCACTCTTAAAACAAAAACCTTTAAATGTCAAGTGACATTTTTAAATATGACCTAAATGTCAAGATAGTTTTTGGAAAATTAAATAACATTTTAAACGTGTATTAAATGTCTGAATAGTTTTTGGGGCATCAAAACATTTTTTTAATAAGAAGTAAATACTAATTTATTTTGTATCATATCCATATATATGGGATGCACCTAAATGCAAATTCTGGATTCTGTAAAAACTGTATATCACAGGGCTGGGCAGGTCGGGACTGGGGGGCACAAGGGGTGGATTTGATGACGGTCAAGCACAGGACTGCAAACAAAAGGAGAATAAATAGGGAGAGAATGTGCTCACACCACACATAATGGCCAGAGAACAAAATCACAAGCCAAGTGCCCAAACAAAACATGACATAAACACACAGCCAATGAGAACACTCAAAAGCCATGTGTTCACACAAAACGTAACATGAAAGCACGCCAACCACATCCTACATAGAACAATGCAACACAAGAACACTCAGCAAATGAAAATATGAACCAGGCACTCTACAAAAAAAAAAAAAAACGAAAGAAGAGTGCACAGAAAGTGAATTAACACTCACTCCAGCCCTATATATACTGTATTTATATCAAATCTCTCCTCACTCACAGGCAGTTCTGTTTCTTTCAGGGTCAAAGCTGATGTTGGATTTAACTGAGAAAGACACGTACGTAGTTGTGGTTTGATCTATTTATTTGCGTCACAGAACCGGTCATTTCAGGTAAACAGGCATTTCATTTTTCCTAACTTCTGTTTTTTTCAGAGGTGACACTGCACTGCACAAAGCAGCATCCCAGCAGCACCGTGAGGTATGCAGACGTCTGCTGGAGGCTGGGGCTTCCCTTAGCAAAACAAACTTCCTGGTGAGAATCTCCTCGTTTCGCTAGATTGTGCAAGAAATAGTAGCACTAGTGTATAAACACAACTATGCGCGCACACGACTTGGTAGTCACATTTTTGCCATTGTCCTTTTAGGGAAAAACTCCCAAGGATTGTGCCCTGGATACCGGGAACTTGGAGTTGGCGTCCCTCATGGAGAGCCAGCCGGTAGATGAGCCCGTGGCACACGAGGATCTGGAGACGGCTGTATGAACGGGCTCACACGCTTAGTGTTAGGAAGAATTGTACCCACAGAAAGTGGCTGTCGGCACTCCTCCACGCGCCTGCTCACACTCGAACGAGAGAGCTTGAGGGGGGAAAGAGAAAGAGAGGTGTATCGAGAGCGCCTCGGGTTGAGAAAGTCCTCTGCGAACAGGAAAATGTCTAGCTGTTGTTTTTCCACTGATGTCGCTGTGGTTTTTTTTTTAATTGTAGGCTCTGACCTAGCATTTATTTATTGCTCTTATTTATTATAACTATTTATTCAAGGATGGATTGGGTTTTGCTGCGTCAACAGTTAGGTTTAGAGACACAAAAGACGTTTAAACATGTTGTGTGCCAAAGACACACAGACAGGAAAAACATCATCCGCTCCTGAAGAGGGTCGTCATTGGTTCAGAGTTTGTTTGCAGGAGGATCTTCTTCCAGAGTGTTTTTACAGCGGACAAAATAGCTCCAGAGATGTTAAACTGGAACCCCAGTGGTTGATGATCGGAAATCTACATAACTACAGACTTTACACAATCTGTTTCCTTCTCATTTGTTTGTGTGCCGTTACAGTGGCGTGATTGTGAAATTATCTTATGACAATGAGAAAACATCTGAGCCATTTTCAATGCAATATGAATGGATGACATTTGTGCATTTATCTATTTATTATTACATTACATTAATGTTTCAAGACAAGCAAAGGAACCGGATGCGTTTTTCCATTGATGGCAGCTGATTTTTGGCTCCATGATAAGGTTGCGTTTGACAACACTGGCCTGCGAGAAGAATGACTAAACCAAATGAACGCAAGAAGGACACTGACGAGAGTTGTGTGGTATTTCGAACACTTCTGTAACATTACCTAGTCCTGTCCCATGTCGAATCACTCATGACGGGAAATGCATGAAAATGGCTGCCTGTAGGATCACGCTGAGCCTCTGAGATACATTTACATACGAGTGATCTGCTGTGTCATCTTGTATTATCAGTTGACATTTTAACACATTATTGTGCATGGAATTTTGTTACCTCTCTGGATGTTTCTACCCCTCAGTGATTATGTAATGAAATGGCATTATTTCTTTTAAATTTTTTAATTTATATAAAAAAATTGTTCAGTGGTTGTATTTTGCTTTTGCTTTTTTTTTTTTTTTAATCCTTTAAAAGATGGGACTACTTGAATGTTTTAGTTTTTTCTAATTTCTAAATATATATTTTAGGTGTGAATGAGGTCATGGGGTGAGTAGAAATGGTGGATATGTGGAGATGTGACATGTTGCACAATCTCAAAATCGGGAATGTTTACTCATTAAAGGGCAGTCGGATGGAAAGCACCAGTGTTTTGTGTGTTTTATGGACATTCCTAGATGTACCTGATGTTAAAGAAACTACTGTAACAAAAATAAATAACATGCATTATCTGCACTCTTGACTCAACTGATCCCAAGTATGGACATTTATCTTTCTCCCCCCTTTATTGACCTAAATGCTGTAATGTACAAACTTAAAATAACCATTCATTCTCATTTACCCAAATCAAGGAACTGTTTAAGGTCTCTTTTTAATGGATAGATCGCCCAAAAATTAAAGTTTGTTCAAAGTTGACAACACACAAAAAAGTGCATAGCATGGCCATGTTCATGCTGCCCATTCCATGCAATGAAAGCATATACAGCCCTAGGCTAGCCAATGAATTAACTGAGAAAGTTAATATAAAGAAATAATATAAAGCATGCCATTTTGCAGTCTAAGCAGTATGACTAATAATTAGAGGGAAATCAATGAATCGTGTGGTTTGAATGAAACTATTTTTGTTGATTCATTGAGTGTGTGACTCACCGTGCGTCATCACGTTACGCAGTCAGTTTGGCTCCGCCCAAGCGCGTATAATATGCTGAACTTTTTTCAATCCTCTGAGTGTGAAGCATCACAGACTGAAAGCAACGAGTCATGTAAGTGTTTTAACTTGCAATATATTTATTCACATAGAGAAAACTTTAATATGACTGTCGCAGATTTTTGTCCTGTTTTTCTTAAAGAGGATTAAGTATAGCCTACATTTGGTTCACACTTCCGTGACTTCAGTCAGCTTAACGTTAGATATAGAAATACGTCGAGACAACTCAAATCATTTTGTCATGCGTGTGATTTGGATCTAAACTTATGGAAATGTCGGAAGTAATAGGGAAACAAACAAACAAACAAACGTCTCGATTTAATGGAGAAGTTTGACGAACATGTCCAGACACATTCACTCTATTTACACAGCGACCGCGAGTTCACTATAGGATATATAATAACCAAATCTACCTTAAATGTGTCATTTTCATGAATAAACTTACAGCTGAAAACATTTCATAGTAAAATTAAATGTAACGTTAAGTTAAAGAAATATTCATGGTAAAATACGCATCAGCTCTAGGCTTCCATTGCAAGTACATGAATGCATGTACAAACAGTTGTTAAAGTCAAATACTACTAGCTCTTATTTTTACTTTAAAAACTTTAGGATTTTTGTCACGGTTGAATTTTAAAAATGTTAAAAGTTAAATTAAGCCCCTGATTTGTAAGTTAAAGGTTTGCTCAGTCATGTTTCCTCATGGAAAGTTTTACAGACGAATAAATGGAATAGGAATTTGAAAAATGTGTAAAATGATGTATATCCACATGAGCTGATGACTCCATTCATACCAGAATTCATACCAGAAGCCTATAAAAATCAGTATTATAGTACTTAATGTGTCGTGGTACACATTATTAATACTGTTCAGTAAATGAAAGTTATACTGAGTTCACCACCTATAAAGATTAGGTTGCACTCAACTTGCTGATCCAAGTGTTTTGATGAAGTTTTGATAACTGACCAGGGCCCAGGAGCACAGCAATGGTGATGTCCAGATTCCTGCGGTGGACAGTCTGGAGTTCAGACTCCTTATGTCGTACGCCCGCAAGAGACGACCCATGGACACCAGTCTGCAGCAGGACATCCCAGAGAGAGAGGTGTCTGAAAAAAGAAGTAGAAGAATGCACAAAAAGAAGAAATTGAGATTATCTTTCATTACAAAATGTATTAAACCCAAGACAGATGATACACCTGAACCACAGCAAGCAGCGCTAGGTGAGAGCGAAATATAATATTGACCTTCAAATGTGTGTTTTTTTTATTTTTATAAAACATTCTCTATAAAGTGAGATTTTTGAGATCCTAACATCTCTTCTTTCAGATGATGGGAAAGTGGATGAGATGGAAAACATGGTCAGTGAATTGACAGAGATATCAGATTCTGTCCACTTCACTTCAAGTGATATAGAATCAGACGGTGATGGTGAGTTCAAGCTCATTCTTCTCTTTTGATTTCTGTATCCGATCTAAGTATTAGCGGTCACCGAGTTGCTTCGTTCAGAGATTGCAAACTGAACTTCTCATTCCTGAATCTGTTTTCTCTGCAGATGTTGTGCAAAGGCTGGCGGAGATCCTCAGATTACATGGCGATGAGCTGGATGAAAAGGTCAGTGGAATGATGTCATTTAATGAGATGTTACACCTGACCACCAGGTGTCTCTGCAAACACAGTTACCTGCACTTTAATGCTGTCCACTGTACATCATGTTTTTCTATACCTTTATTTACATAATAAACAGTTCATTCCAAAAGTCTTCAGACAACATTAATAATACAAATTATAATTCATGTCAATGTTTCAAGTTAACTTTTTACTGTGCTGTTGATGTACTTTGTAACGGGGAAAATTGAAGTGAACTGCACAATAGAGGTGTTTTTACTACCTGTGAAAGACTTTGACTTTGTAATATCCGTAATAGACTTTACATTTGAACAATCATTATATAAAAAAAATGTCACATCAGCAAAAAAAAGTGTAAAATCAATGTAACGTATCTGTTAGCTGCAAAGCTTAATTATTAAAAATCATTTTGATATTAAAAAAAAAGATGGTGAGTTTGTCAACTATGTTAAAGACAAACTGATTTTGGCAAATCACTATTTTGCCTCAAAATTTCAATGGCAGGCCTATCTGGCCAACCAAATGTTATTTTTCTTGATTAGGTTAACCTCATTTTAATATTTATTTACATTTTTTTATTTTTTATTAACAGCTTCAGTTGCTCTTTGTCCAAATATTGTCAATGTTTGTGGTGGTTGTTTTTCTGAGGTTGCGAATTAGCCTGAGAGTTTTGATATTTAATTGTTTTTGTTAATAAATTAGACCGCTGCACATAGATCTTGCTTTATCATTCCTACTGCAACCAAAACTGTGAAAAACAGATATAAATAACATACTAAATGAAAACATCTCTTCTGTTTTATCTCTGAACCTCTGCTGCAGATTAAGAAAGACAAGGCCTTATATGAAACGCTGCAGTCCTCTTTCAAGTATAGCTTCTTCAAGAAAGTGATGGATACTTTCTGTAGAAGTGTCACCTTAGAACTGCCAACAGAAGACGAGAAAGTTGACGTGGCTCTGATTTGTGAAGCCACCAGTCAGCTCTATGGCGTCAACTACCATCCAATGAACCGTGTGCTGGGCTTCGGTGCCAAGTATCTTCAGGAAAATTACTCCAAGTGGATTAGCAGAAACATGCATGTAGGCAGTGTAAGTATCTCAATGACATCTGGCCTAATAACACATACAAAAACAGGATGAATCTTTAGTCACAGTGCCATTTTCCCTCTCACAGGCAGAAGTTGGAGATGAATCCAAAGAGGAAGTCCAGTGAGCTGACGAGATGTTCTCCGTCCTCAAATTACAGACGTCTTTCTCAGGGGCACAGTCACTTTATTCACAATAAAAAAAGAGATTTTCTAGTGTACCAGCAGGGATCTAGTACTTTTTCTTCACTAGGTCCTCGAACACCTGAGGCCAAAAAAGAGGAAATAGTTTATAGAGCCGAATATAAATGCATGTACACCAAACCTCATTAAGAGTGCTATGGATACTGCCTCAAAGCATTACATGTACTTTATGCTTTGAAAATCAGGATGATACATCATTCCCGACTGTATACGTTATCATATTTAGCTGTACTAGTAAACTTTTTTTTATTTATTTAATGAGACATCCAAATTGTTATTATTAATTGTTATTTTTCTTTTTTGTTAAAACTGTTTTTGTTTTGAAATGAACATATTTCAGGTACTTTAGCATCTAGAATGAAACTGTCATTAAGAGGATAGGAAAAATGTTGTCTAAATAATGTATTTTGTTCAATGTTATAATAAACAACTTTGACATGTCATTTTGTCTGTTTTCTTTCCTACACTATATGACATTGTACAAATATGTGGAACAACTTTTATAAATATAGGCTTACCTTTCCAGGAGTTTTTGTGATGATATCTGCATACTTTTAGACATATACATGGAGTATTTTATCAGTGAAAGGTCGTTGATTAACCTCTGGGTTTGAATGTTATATATATATATTTTATTATTAAATATAGTTTGTATTAAAGGTTTAGTCATTTTGTTGTTTTTGTCATTTTTACATTTACATTACATTTATTCTGTTAATGACTTTCGTTTTTACATAGTGCATCAAGTCAAACTAAATGAAAACTAGCAATGTTTTCTTGGAAAATATAGCTGAAGCAAAGTAGGTTTAAGTTTTATTTTAGCTAAAGTTAATTTATAGTTTATTTTATCATGACAAATTGTATGGTTTTAGTGATGATGTTCAATGTTATGGTCTATAACTATAATCTTGTAACTATAATCTTGCTTCTAGTAAACTGATTTGATGTATTAACGGTGTGTGTGTGTGCGCGAGTGCGCGCAGCTCAGGTGAAACATGAGACGCGCGTGCACCTGTCTTACCTGCTTGAGCACCAATCCTCCGTCTTAGAGAACCTCGGCGAAATTTTCTCGAAGCCTGAGAAATGTCTCATTGCAAACCTCCAAGAACCGGCTTCTTAGATCTACAGGTGTTTCTGCGTTTCCTATGGCATGATGCATCACAGTAGGAAGTACTCGCCACCGCGCCACTGCGTCGTCGGGACGCCTCTAGTTGTACCTCAGCTGAACCGGTTACCGACCTTTCGGGTGGAAGAAGGTCACCCGATGGAGAAGAATTCACCGAAAGCCAAATCCAGAATGCGCAACGCGAAGGTGAAGGCGGTGAAGAGAGCTCCGTCTCCCCAAAGACCACGCGTCTCTCCAAAACCCGTTCAAAGCGAAGCGCTACCGAAGGTGGCGGAGAACGGTGGAGCCGGACAGCGGTCTCGAAAGAGGGGCTTCAAACCCCCAGATGTGAGGACGATATTCGACCCACGCGTAAAAGTGGAGAGAGGAGAAGGACACTCGTTTTGTGAGGACGCGACGCACGCTTGGTGCGATGTGTGTTGCTCGTATATCTTTCAAGATGGCTTGACCTGCACAGGTGAGAACTTTATATTAGACTTCTACAGATTTGACCATTATATGTATACAGAGAGGTAGTCAATATCAAACAATGTTTTTTTTTTTAGTATATTAGTCTAGACAAGGTCAATTCATCACTATGTGCTGTTGATCCAAGCAGAATGACTGTTTCTTAAGAATTGTTAGTTACTTTTGGATAAAAGTGGCAACTAAATGGAATTATATTATAGGCCTAATATTTCATAAATCATAAACTCATAACTGCATGTTCATGACCTTCCTCACACACCTCACACTCATCTACAGGTATGTGGACTGACTGGTTTGGGTTTATAAATTCACTGAGTTGCACCTTCGGCACCCACATTTACGGTACATGTCACAAATATGTCTTATAATACTTGGCAATGCGGAAGTCAGTCCTGTACATGTACTCATAATTCATTTGATCAAATCTAAGGCTCAAGTTATAGGCACACTGAACATTTGCACCTGAAATGGTCACTGGCAGTAGCGATTGACATTTTCATCCCTGAATGAAAGCCTTGCATTGTTTTCAGTAGTGAAAATATATCTAAAAATCATATGCAAAGCATCATCTGCTTCAACCCACAACCAAATTTGTATTGTACATTTTGTAACCTCAAAAGAAAGTATGACCATAGAGACGTCTAGAAGTGAATTTGCAAGTGTATTTTTGATTAAAATGACCCAAATGTCCCTCAATTCATTCTCCTAATATGGCTCTCTGTGTCACTTGTCTGAGCTGCAATTGTGCAGAGGTTGTCCATTCACAAGTGTTAACTCAAATGGAACAACTGGACAAAGGTAAGTTTCACTGAGTCTTCTTGCTTGACTTGAGTGAGCAGGTAATTGAGAGAGAGAGCCACTGGCTCGGCTGAATGGGTTGAAAGCCTGTTTTTAGAGCTGCCATCCAATTCACTCTCATGTCGCATAGCCTTTCATTTTGATATTAGTACATTTTAAGGGGCCACTTACAGATCCTGGAATATGTGGGCAGGGAAAGCGTTCACTAAATGATGTTTCATTAAACAAAGTTCAGGAGGAGCACGTTCAAATAATCAATCCAATTAACTTGTCATCAGCAATCATCATGTCTATCCCATCAGCATGAGAGGAAGCATATATGCACTCAGTCGACTACAATCATTGACCGTTTTTCAGCATCCCTCCAGTTTACAGTAGAGTACATGAAAATATATATGAAGACCTCCGATGCAAAAGCCTCTAAAAGCCACCTATGTCAAAAATGAGATAATAATATTGAGTGATATATATATAAGAGAGATATATATATATACATTATCTCATGAAACCCCTCACATTTCAGCAAACATTTTAGTATATCTTCTCAAGGGACAATATAGAAATGAAACTTGGATATATTTTAGAGTAGTCAATGTGCTGCTTGTATAACAGTATTTACTGTCCTCTGAAAATAACTCAACATACATCCATTATTGTCAAAATAGCTGGCAACAAAAGTGAGTACACCCTAAGTGATTATAGCTGTACGTCGTTTAACCATGCAAAGCCACATGTCCTATTCATCATGTTCATGTTTCTGTCTGCTTGACAGGACCATACAAATTTGTGTATCTTGTATTAGAGCAGTTCAAATTTGTGCTTTGAGTACAATTCTCTCATACTGACCACTGGATGTTCAACATGGCACCTCATGGCAAAGAGATCTCTACTGCGACATTCTGAAGCAGAACATGATGCGCTCCCTTCAGAAACTGGGCCGAACGGCATGATAGCGACCCCAAACAAACTGAGGAAGGTGAAGGTGATGGAGTGGTCAAGTATGTCTCCAGACCTGAACCCTGTTGAGCACCTGTTGGGCGTCCTCGAGCGGAAGGAGGAGAAGCGCCATGTGTCTAACATCCAGCAAAATATTGACACTTTGGACACAGTTTTGACATGTTCACTTAGGGTGTACTCACTTTTGTTGCCAGCTATTTTGACAATAATGGCTCTATTTTGAGGTATTTTCAGAGGACAGTAAATATATACTGCTATACAAGCAGCACATTGACTACTCTAAAATATATCCAAGTTTAATTTCTATAGTATTGTCCCTTGAGAAGATATGCTAAAATGTTTGTGAGGGGTGTAGTCACTTTTGTGAGATACTGTGTATATATATATGTCCATGTACTCTACTGTAAACAATATATATAAATAATTATAATATAAATAAATAAATATATATGATTACATAAATGCAAGAATGTGCATAAAGCATGCTACATGTAAATATGCTCTTTTATTTTAAATTGGAAAATGTGCACGAAACGTGATCCATGACAGCTTCCTTCATTTGTAACTTGTCTTTTTGCCACTTTTAATATCAAGAATGAATTGTAATGGAGTTTTCTAATGGTCCAAATGATTTAATGAATCTTTAATGCAGTGAAAGTAAAACTTTCTTCGGCCTATTATCTGTTTCTAGTGTAGCATCTGTACTCTGTGGGATTTCATTCACTTCACTGCAAATAATAGTCTGTATGTAGTACAGTATACCTAAGCAAAAGATCAACAAAGACGCCTTTTTTCCACCTTTGTGGGTCTCACAACCTTTTTGGCCTTTCTAGCCCGACTGTATTGTGTCCTGCTATTTGACACCCACCTGTTCGCTCCCCTAATGTCCATCTGTCTGTTTGTGTAGCGGCAGTGACAGTGTGTCTAGAGAAGGCACACCGTCCTGTCACAGCAGAGCCATGGCTCACAATGGGAACCGCGGGGGTCAGTGGAACAACTGCACACACACATTGGAGCAGGGGCTTCATGACGGGAGGCTTCAACCGGTTAGGAGTTAGAAGCAGTGCTGCAGGTTCAGTGCTGAAGGGAACATATTTCAGCCAGTAAATATTCAGGGGTTGAAGTGAGACTCGATGTTGTTCTGGTCGGGCAGTGGACTGTAAGTCATGGGTCTGAGGAAAGGGTTTGGAAGAACTTTAAGAAGACTTACCGGAATCCTCTATCGCCTTCCAAAAGTGATGCGGCGCTCCGGTCGACTGGAAGTTAGTCTGCTGTGGAAGTCATCCGGTGGGTCCAGATCTCTTTGGCTTTTTGGTAGTTTTATCCTCAGGCAAATGGAAGTTAGATGGCAATTTCATACTGAGCAGCGCAAAGTCCCTGATTCATGGAACAATGAGGACAGATATTAGTGTCGTTTCTAGTACAAACAATATGACGTTTTTGTCTTAAAAATGTTATTACTGTAATAAAAAGCAGGTTTTTTATTACTAATCTGTATGTTTAGTCAACTATTGGCATTAACTCTTTTGCATATGTGCGTGCATTTGCAAAACTCACCGTCATGATGCTAGGTTGCTGTGCATGGGTTCTAGTTCATTGATATGAGGTTGATTACTGGCACAAGTGAAAAGAGGCATTCTCCAATGGAAATTATTTTAGGAATAAACTTAAACTATGCTGATCTTCATTCAACTGAATCTAAACTGTGATGTTCAGCAGTGCCACAGTAGCATAGCAAACTTACTGTGGTCTGAGATCGTTGGTCATAAAGGGGGTGAACGAAGAATGAGAGAGAGAGACGGAGTCTATTATTCAACGTGTTCATTTTCTTCAGCACTGACGTGTGTTGCTCGCAAGTTTCTAGACAGTCACCAACTACTAGACAGTGATTGTTGTGGACTATTGTTGTTGTATTTTGTGTGTGGTATCATTGTGTATGTGTTGCGTTTCTGTGGACCGTGGTGTCTCAGTTGATGTAATGTTGACCTCACAGTTTTAAGGCAATGCCAACAGCCACAGACTCCCACCGAGCAAACACAGACCAGAGCACTAAAAACATCCGCTCGCTGTCCCGCTGTGAAGGACAGAGCCGAGTCTAAACAGTTGGGAAGAGGTTCACGATAACATGGCAAATAGTTTGTCAGTTTAACATCCATCGAATGAATGACTTAAGTAATGAAAACTGATTGCAAAAGAATGGAGTGTTTTCTTGACATTTTGTCACGGGCAGGTGTTGTCGTGACCTCGGGACGGTGGTGTGTGTTGTTTCAGGGGTCTGATCTAATCCCAGCGTGGAGCCGAGCTGGAATGGAGACGAACAGAAAGCAACATGAGAATCTCTATTCTTATCTTGTTTCTAAAACAGCACAGACACAGACTGAAACAATAGTTATGATCAACTGCGCAAGGACAGGCTCGGCTACTTGTTTAGTCAAGATTTGCAAAGTTTCACAAACAGACTTTATTGTTTTGGGAGTCTGATATGAGAGAGACATCTGACAAGGAAATGGCACCATCAAAAATAAGCAACATCATATTGCTCCTTACAAAAAAAAGTATACTTCAAGTTCATTTTATTAAGTATGCTTAAGTAAAGTTCAAGTACATTTTATGTGTATACTAGTATTAATGTACTAGTGTTAGTAATAAAAAAACTGCTTTTTATTACAGTAATTACTTGTAAGTGTACTATTTCAATAATGGGTCTAAACCCACTTTTAAGTGTAACAGTAGTAAACTATGAGTACACAACTACGTTTTTCGTTTTTACTGCAACCATATTACAAGTGAACTGTACTTTAATTTGAAGTTCCCATGTGCAGTGGACTGCACAAAAATTCACATACTCAGAATTAGAAACAAATCTCTTTTCTTTATAAATCAATATTTTCAAACAATGTAAGTTTATGAGACAGTATGTAAAACAGTATTTGATAGGCTACTCAATCAAAAGAGTACAAGCCAAATATACTTATTTATACTTTTAAGTAAAAGATTAAGTACAGGCCAAATATACTTTTCTGTCAGTATAAGTCAAGTATACTGAAGTGTAATTTTAAGGATGTTTCTGAGAAGTATAAAAATTAGATTCAAAGTCTACTTTCTTATTTTAATTTTAAAAGAGGTATACTTCTTTTTTTGTAAGGGTGACAAAGATAAATGTAATTTTGTCAGTTTGAGGGACATATTTTATCAAACACAAAAAGGGTTTACAAACGTCTTATGCTTTAACATGCTGCTTCACATTGTGTTTTTCTGGCACTCTTTTTTTTTTTTTTGAGGATGGAATAAGCATTATATGGAAAAGTGAAGTAAAAACACCTCCACCTGTCCAGAATAAACAGCTGTTAAATGAGAGAGTAAAAAGCACCTGGTTCATGCTCACGAACGGCCTGTACTGACACCAGAAGCTGTGTTTTCCTTTAATTACAGATCCTTACAGTATGTGTTTCTTTTCCTGGTTGTCAGAGTCAGTCACAGTCAGTTTCTGCATCCCAATTTGCAGACGTTTACCATGTACTAAAAGTACACTTGTTCAAAAGTTTGGGGTACTGTTTGTACTGTACTGTAAGTTTAGAAGTACAGTTCTAAACCTTTGACCTTTCTGTTTATCAAGGAATCCGGACTTTTTTCTCACAATTCAGGATTGTGAGATAGAAATTTGCAATTGTGAGTAAATTCCAATTCTAAGGAAAAAAAGTTGTTGTTTTTAGCTGACTGTGACTTTTAAAGACTGTGTTTATATCTCACAATTCTGACTTTATATCATATTTCATATTTTTTTATTCAGTGGTGGAAACAAGCTTCCATAGTTTTCAACATTGATAATAATAAGAAATGTTTCTTGAGCAGCAAATCAGAATATTCAAATGATTTCTGAAGGATCATGTGACACTGAAGACTGGAGTAATGATGCTGAAAATTCAGCTTTGATCACAGGAATAAATTACATTTGAAAATATATTGACATAGAAAACTTTTATTTGAAATTGTAATGATATTTCACAATATTCCTGTTTTTACTGCATGTGTTTTTAATCAAATAAATGCAGTCTTGGTAAGCAGAAGAGATTTATTTCAAAAACATTAAGAAATCTTACTGACCTCAAACTTTTGAAAGGGCGTGTATACTTTGAGGGGGATTTTTGAGTAATGTGGTATTGGCAAATACTACCACATCATCATAAATTGTGTCATAATTCCACAATAGCTTAACAGTAAGCATTCAAACTAAATTTAGTAGCTAACCTGAATATATATTTAAATATCAGGTTGATGCTTTTAACAACATTTCCTTTTCATGCAAGTTCAAAAACCCATCCATTGTTTGGTCAACTTTTGTTTTTTAATGTATTATATTAAGGGATGCTCTATTTATTATCTGGCTTATTACTTTGAATTGATCGTATGTTCATTGGGATGCTGCATATATTTTCTTTTAGAGTGTTAATGAAATCAAATGAACCTTAATAGTATTTCGTTATGAGGGTGGTAAATATTTAGAAAGCGAGACTGCTGTGGGAATGACGGTTTTGTCCGAGTGTGTCTGTGTTATATGAGCTGTCTGCTGTCGGTAATGTGTTTGTGTAGGAAACATTTAAGAACTTGAATGACTTGTTCTCTGTCAACATGCAAAGTTTTAGAGACAGAGTCCCAAATATTGCACCGTCACGCCACAGTCTGGATAGAGGACAGTATTCTGTGTGTGTGTGTGTGTGTGTGTGTGTTTTGCTCTTCGGGCAGGTCCTGATCGATAGCGCCGTCCCTCATTACGGGAAGTGCAATTAAGGAAGAGGCAGGTCTGCACTTCCCACCCGCCCCAGAGACCAGAACAGATTGTGTGTGTGTGTGTGTGTGTGTGTGTGTGTGTGTGTGTGTGTGCAACTGTGCATACATTAGCTCAGTTATACACGGACAAGACCGCAGCTCTGCACAAAGAATGGCACTTTAAGCAACCATTACCCATCATGCTCCAGTATTAAAGATCCACGTTCATCACACTCCTGTCATTGCTCATCCTCAGTGTCATTCTGCTCTCTGCTGATCTTTAAAAAGAGCAGCGTTCAATCAGAGATGATGAGATATTAACTTTAACATTAACTTTGTCCTATATGTCTAAAATTCTTAAGGAGAAATAAAAAGACATATATGAGATAAGCGATGAACGTTTGACGTATGATATGAATGTGGACAGCATAGCTCACATACTTTGGTCTTTGAAGACATTGAGAAATGTTGAAGATTTTGGCTTCTGATTACAAACTTTGGGTAATCTGAGCACAGTTTGAGCACTTCTGAAACTCATGCGAGTTTGCTGGGGGAACATTTTCTCTCCATTTAATCCTGTTGCTGTCTAGCATAAATATTTAAGATATTAACAAGATCTCATTTGGGATTTTCCTTTACTTGTCTGTTTGAGGGGCCAAGATTAAATTTGGGTATTTAAAACCCAGAGGAGCAGAAAGTGGAGAATGCATAGAATGTGCAGGATTTAGATGGCTGTCAGTATGAGAACAGTCGGTTTAATTGTTTAATAATTCTGAATATTAAGGGTGATGAATCTGGGGTGTTTACAGCAGTGTTAAAAATTAATTTAAATACAAAGTGCTTCCCTCATCACCTTTACTGTAAGTGTCCATCATTTTCTAGGCAAAATGTTCATCATTTGACAGTCAAATCAATCGACTGAGCTCACTGAGAGAGAGAGAGAGAGAGAGAGAGAGAGAGAGAGAGAGAGAGAGAGAGAGAGAGAGAGAGAGAGAGAGAGAGAGAGAGAGAGAGAGAGAGAGAGAGAGAGAGAGAGAGAGAGTGTTACCTTGGAGATTGCATGGGCGAGAGACAAATAAGTTTGTCCTTCTGTTCTGAGAGTGGAGTGCACAGGATAAGCATTTGTGTTTCTGATGGCATGCTGTGAGTTAAGCTTTCGAGACAGAAAGCGTCATCACTCATATGCTTGAGTGGGATGGGAGCAGCATTCTGCAAACTTTACGGCAAAATTACTCAGCAAGTCAAGTCTCAATCTTCAGGTAGGTCATAACAGCAACGGGAACTGAGATTGGGATTTTGAAAGACATTGAAAAATCCATTATGATATTAACGTTCGCATGAATAAGCAAGTGTATGTGGTCATGTTTTCTGTGAACAGTGGCTCTAGTGAGGATTGGAAAGCAGAGGATGCTCTTCTTATTGTCTATTCATTTTTATTAATTATCCATCCAATGCAGATGGGTTTAGTTTCATTTCAGCATCAGAAAGCATTCTTATATAAAATAAAGAATGCAAAATATTCTTATGCATGTGGAAGTATGCATACCTTTAAGTCCAGAAGTTTTCACAGGCAATACATGTAACATGTAAAACACATTACTGTAAAGATTGAATTATTTTAAATTGCCTTAATGTGTGTTGGTAATTTCTTACATCTTACTTAAACACGTGATTATACTTTTCTACATAAAAAATTTGCATGTGCGGCATCTTTTTTGCAAACCAATATTTCCATTTAGCCCACCAGAAAACCCATCATATTTCACTAAATCTCCTACTAAAAAAATGATGCAGGCTTTTGTTACCCATAACACCTTGCAAAACTACACCTTCAGTGGTAAAACCACTCAAAACACTTCAGAAATGCTCTAGCAACCCAGCAACATGCAAATATTTACTTTTTACAAATGTGCTGCATTGTTATTAGATTGTGGCAGCGAGTTCAGTTCAGTTTTAGGTATAACAGTTTTAAAGGGGTATTATGTGAAGCATACTGTGGGAGTAACTGCTGTCTGTTCTTGTTTCCTCTCCTCCAGGTTGCAAATACACATGTCATGCTCAGTGCCGTGACCAGGTGGCGCTAGACTGCCATCAGAACGGATCCATCAATGGCTGCCCACTCAGCGCTCTTGCTCAGGACCATCTGAACAACAACCAGTCCTCACACAGCGTGAGTACAGAGATTATTTTGTGCGTGCTTTCACGTTTGCATGCACATTCAGTTCAATCTAAACTGAAATACATAAGGGAAACTCTTAGAGAATGTTAAGAATCACAGACATCTGCTAGTGATGGTCAGGTTTGACCACAGGGGGGAGAACAATCCCAGACACATGACCTAAACTAGTCTCTCAGTATTGCTGTAAATGTAGACTGAGCAATGTTATATTCATTCTTGGTCACCTTGGTCTTGTGTATGTTATTTGAGTCTTCATTGGCAGATAACTGATTAACGGAGAAGCATATAGTTTTTTTAGTAGGACATTAGCTGAGATCATGTGTTGACATTTTTTCTACTATGGGTGTATTGATCATAGTTTGGTCATACTAATTATTGCCTTTCTTTAGTCTTCACTTAGACCTGTTTAATGGAATGGAGCTAAAGGATGATACACTGTTATTTAGCGCTATGTGCGCGCGCACACACACACGCACACACACTCATTCCCATTGCACTTGGCATGGAACTAACAATGGCAGGATATTACTCTTGGGCAGAATTCCTCTGGTCCCCATAGTGTCCAGTTTTGTTCTCATGTGCCTGTGCTAGTTTAAAACTATCAGTCCCAACGCTCTGTAAACTGTGCAGTATGAATGAAAGACGAGCAGTGTGTGTGTGACCTGGCGGGGTCAACACACAAGCTAGTGTGGTATGTGTGCTATCCACACTAATCCAGGTCTGTCAATTTAGTGCGGCGTAGGAAGATATTGGAATATGTAAACTGCTGTGTTACTGCGGCTACAGATCCGAACTGTATTGTGACTGTTTGGAATAGAAAAGTGATTCTGATTATATATTTGCACTCCAAAATCAGAAATATTTTGCATTTGGATATTTAGCATTTTTTTTTGGATTGTGATATTATTTTCATGCCAATTGGCAACATTTATTCCCCCAAATTATTAGGAGCTTAAGGGTAAAGTGAAAAAATCTCATTAGTGCTGAAAAATAAATATATGATTTAAATATTATTTAAAGTACATTTGTAAAGTAGACCTGAGGAAATGCATGTAAGTATTTGCTGTTATGAAGTGCAGACACGATTTACATGAATGAGAAAGAGATTTTTTAGCATTACAGTATTGTGAGAATTATCATGAAAATAACTTTAATAGTCCTAAAACTAGACTTTATTTTCTTAATTCCCAGATATTTCATTGTCAAATTAGCTGTTTTCATCCACCTATTTTAATGCACATTTTGGGATATCGCATAAAAAAAATGGTGAATGGATACCGAGATGCACATAAATTCAAAAAATGTGCATAAGAAACGCATAAACTACGTTGGAAACCCATTTTAACCGAATTAAACAATCGCAGGATGCGCAACAAAAAATCTCAGCTGTCTTTTACGTAGTTTTACTTTTTATTATGTGACAATAATGGCCACAAATGTGGTGTTATCAGTGTGGTGTTATCATCATTACTACTTAGTAATTAGTTACTATAATTTAATTATTTTTCCCTTGAAAAAGTAAAGTAAGGGATTACTCTTAATTTTTCTGTCATTTAATTATTTAAATGAGCTAAATACTGTGTATAGACCAATCCGATCTCACGGCAATTCGTATGCATTTTATGAGGTTGCTAAACCGTACGACCTCACTCCTTGTAAAATACGTATGAAATGCCATGAGATCGGACTGGTATAAACCAGTGGTTCTCAACTCCAGTCCTCGGGACCCGCTGTTCTGCACATTTTGTATGTCTCTCTTATCTGACACACTCAGTTCAGTTCATAGAGTCTATCCTAAGGAGCTGAGGATCTGAATCAGGTGTGTTGAATAAGGGAGACATACACAATATGCAGAGCAGTGGACTGGAGTTTAGAACCACTGGTAGGCTAAAAACTAGAACAATTCTATATAAAACAATAGTGGGCTTTAATCAAAATCTATTGTCTGATTTTAAATAGTTTGTTTATTATGTAACATTCTCCCTTTAAATTGTTTGGTCAGTTTAAGCATAATTCGTGCAATTTTATAGTATTTATTTGAAAAAATTAAAACAGTTTCATTCCTTGTATTATTCAGCTGGTTGAGGTTGATATGGGATTTAGAAAGTAATAAGTAATTAAATACTTTTTAGAGAGAGTAATTAGTAACAGTAATCTAATTACACTGTTAAGAGGTAATTAGTAACTAGTAATTAATTACTTTTTTAGAGTAACTTACCCAACCCAACTGGCTGTTATGTATTTTTTTTTTTTTTTGTGTGTGTGTGAGATATACCACATATAAAAATGTACATGAATACACAATGGTGCCATTAATCACATTATGTTTTTAGTTTATTTGTATTATGGATGTTTAGTACGTAGTGCACTGTTAGAAGGTGCCGTATCGTGTGTGTGAGGTCTGAAGTTGGTTCATTGGTAATTTGGGATTAAACATGGGTGTGTACATTCTCATAGGACCAGTGGTGAGGAACCAGCTGTCTGTGTCAGTCTAAACATGGACGAGTCTAACATTCATTTTAGTGTGCGTGTGTTTGACTCTTCATATAGACCCAACATTCCAGACCAGAAGCCCACTCCCCCTGAAGACAGTCGGTTGAGTCAGCCACGTTACACAGGGCCAGACAAGGTCACACACACACTGACGGTTGAGAGAGGGATGTAGGGAGGACAGGGTGTCATAACACCCACTCAATAATGCAAAAACAGACAACTGATAAAATACAAGAGAAAAATGACATCAAAACATAACATCAAGTTTGTTGAGCAAATGTAATTCCCGAAGATGATATTTTTAGAGTATGCATTATATATATATATATATATATTATTTCAATACTACATTTATTTTGAATTAGCTTGTTTTATATTTTAATTTTAGTTACAATTTTTTGTAATATTGTTATGTGCTTTTGTCATTTTATTAGTTTTTAATATTTGTATTTACATTATGATTTTTTTAATGTTTAAGTTTTTCCACCAATATTTATATTAATTACGCAAAACAAATATTTACAATATATTTACAGGTAAATTAATATCTGGTCAACAGGTAAATATCTAAACCAAGTAATATAGTTTGTAATTTTACATTCTTGGCTCATCTAATCAAATTTTAATGTAAAAACAGTGTATTTTATAAATATAGCTGTATAAATCCATGAGTAGGTCTGTTCAGAGTGTAAGGGTGATTCATATCTGAGATTTTACATGGATTACTGTAAAGCTGCTGGTGTAAGTAAGGAGAACACTGCCGTATTATTGCTGTACTATTGGATCAGCAATATTGTGTGCGGAGCCTGAGAAAGAAACAGAGGTGTAAAATGATCCAAACGAAAGATGTAGGAAAGAGAGAGTTTCCTGTCAGGAAACAGTCACAGGATGCCTGCAGCACAACCGAGTACACACACACACACAAACACATCTTGCACACATCACATTAGACACATACCAAAGATCACAGTAAGTCAGCGGGAAAGACCATCAAGAACATTAAATCTATCTAATTTTTTATTGTAACACAATGTTTTGCAAAACTCGCTTTGTAGAGTGCTCCCAAAAAAAAGCATGTTAAAGTTGAGATTCAGCACAAGTATTCAGCAGGATAATGTGTGTCGTTCTTTTTTTTTTCTGAGGCAGCAGTTTTTTGGCAGGCGTGAGCTGAATGCTGGGAACTCTTTGGGTGGTGAAGCTGGTCCAAAATGCAAGAGGCAAAGCTTTAACTCCACCGCACTAACCACACACCCATGTGACTCCAAGAAATGGGGATAAATGTCACACAATCTGGTCTCTATTGGTCAAGTTTACTGTATGTTTAGAATTGAGTTTTGTTCATGTAAGCCAATTACTGTCAGTAGAGAAGGACAGATATTTTAGTCAAAGTTCACATCTGCAGTACAGCATCAGGTCCGGACAGTCATGTGAAAAGATTGTAAATCAATTGACTGATTCACTTAGACTGATTTGATTTGAGTGTACTATTTCTGCCTGCAACTGATGTCAGATGTCACAGATAACATGATGTTTGACTAGGTTATTCATGCCATTCTATTGAAACGCATGCTATTATGTGAAAATGTGTAATGAAGCATCAGTGCTGAACATGCTAAATCTACCCTCAATGGGTTGGACCCAAAGTCCAGCTGATCTTTGAGTGCTGAAATGAAGTAAGGCCTGTCATTTACTGACATCTGATTTATATGTCAAACCTAAAGCATTGCATTCTTTTAGACTAACATTTGCTTAGAAAGACTTTGAAAGGACAATTTGGCGATTGTTGATCCAGTAATGCAGCTTGGGAAAATATGCCATTCTTTGCTGAATTGGAATGCTACAAGAATTCACATGATGATGTTCCTAAAGGAATCTATAAATATCCCCCAAGGTCAGGCCCCTTGACCTTATTGGTGGACCACAATCTGCGACCATATTTGACATTTGGTTCACTCGACTGTAAACAAGACAAACCCTCTTATCCTCAGAGCAGAATAAGCAGGTAGGTCTTCCCTCAGGTCTGGGATTAGACGCTGTCTATTTTAAGAGCTAATCCCGCCTCTTTCTTTAGATCTTCCTTCTGTCAACTAGGTCAGTGGTAACTATCCAGTGCGCACCTCACATAATGCTCACACACTGATCCAAAAAACCTTCTGGAACTTACTATTGTATTTTGCTGGTTTCTAAACACTGTAAAAGTTTCTACGTAATCACAGTGCAACAATGGATGGATACATGAGTTCTCAGGTCCTGAGAGAGTGTTTTTTTAATCAAGCTAGCCAAGAGCAAGCCTATATGTTTGTAAATTAAACCATGGAGCCCCTAAAACTGAAGACCCTTTGACAAAACACTAGAGTGGTTGCTGTGGCTACTACTATATTAAACAGTAATAAAGTATCTTTCCATGGAAAAGTGCACCCAGCTTCTCTGCATGTGAATGAGTGTTTGCTAATTGCTCCCAGCCGTCACCACATTCAGAAGGACTGGATTAGCTGACA